GGCGGCGCGGGCCGGCGCAAGCAGCGCGGGCCGCGGAGGAGGGAGCGATGCGCGCAAGGGGCGCGCAAGGGGCCGCGGGCTCCCGCACCCGCGGAGGGGCGCGCAGTTAGAGCGGGGAAAGCTGCGGTTTCCCAGTTTGTGTTTCATTAGAGCGGCAACATGTCTGGGATGACAGGGCAGGCTCCAAGGAGGAAACAAAAGCTGCAGGGAAGAGCGCGATGTCTGGGCTCCGCCGGCTCCGGCGGGAGGCGCGTATATCTCTATCTATACATGTATTTATATAGAGATATAGGTGTTGTTGTTCTCAGTTTTAGCAGGTCCTGTAATCTCTAGAGTGGCCGCGACATGAGTCAATCCCAAAGTGGCACCCGGTGATAAACAGGCTCTGGTCTGATTCGCAAACAAAATTCGGGAGCGCTCAACCCGCAGCCTGCAAAGGGCTCCGAGATTAGAGGGGATTATTGGAGATTAGAGAGGGAGATTTGCTCCATTTTGCCATACCCCCTATATGTGACCCCTCTGTGCTGAGGAGGGCTAAAGACCTGCCTACTTTTCCACTCCGAGAAGACACAAAATACCTTTCTCATTTTCTTTTCTTTTCTCTTTTTTTTTTAATGGAAGACAAAACAAAACAAAAGCAGCAAATGCCAATTAAATCCGACGTGTGTTATGATTTGAAATTGTACCGAAGCGCTGCTCATTGGCTTGATTTTTTAAGGAAATCATGGGGGGGCTAAACCGGAGAAGGGGTTTCAGCCGCCTTGGATGGATCTGCGCTGCGGACGCAGAGCTTCGCCTTCCTCCTCGGCTTCCCCTCGCCCCAGTTTCGCCGAGAGATTCCCGGGCAAAAAGAAAAAAAAAAGAGAGAGAGAAAGGAAGGAAAGAAAAAAAAAGAAAAGAAAAGAAAAAGAGAAAAAAAAAAAGGAGAAGGGAAAAGAAGGAGTCCAGAACAATATCATATCTGTTTTATTTTCCGAGAACACCTTTAGTGCTGCAGCCGCCGCCGGGCCCAGGCGGGTGCGTTTCGGCCTGGCCTTCCCGTCCCTTCGCGGGCGCTAGAACCAGCGCGATTTGGGATGAAGAGACCTGGGAGGACTCCTAGAAAATACATCTTTTTTTTTTTTTCCCCACACCGTTGCTGCAGAGTCGGGTTCTTGATTGCTGCCTCCAGTCCTTGCAAACTCTGATCATTAAAACGCGTTTTTTCCTCTTTTATTTTCCTCTTTTTTTAAGTTATTTCGAAAGTTTCCTTTCTTTTTTTTTTCTTTCGAAGGTTTTCGCGCAGCTTCGCGTTAAAATAAACAATGAAGTCCTAAAAGTAAAGCAAAAAGAAAATAAAGAAAAAAACAGTAAAAAAAATTTAAAAAGAAGACACGGAGGTAGAGAGAGCGTTTTGCAAATAGTAACTGCCGGGTTTTGCCCCTCTGCCCTCCCAAAGTTTTCTGCAGTGGCCGAACACAACAAAGACAAGGGATCAAAGATCGCTCTGTAAGTTTAAAGGAGGGAAAAATAATAATAATAATAATAATAATAATAATAATAATAATAATAATAAGCAGGGAGAGGAGGATAGGCCGACGCATCAGGGGATCTGCTCACTCCGCTCCTGCTCTCGCCCCTCTCTCCTCTCGGGC